CTGTCACCGTGGACGCTGGGTGATGCTGTCACCGTGGACGCTGGATGTAACATCACCAGTGTTTAAGCCAGTCAGCGGGCAGCCTCCCAGTGTGGCGTGACTCTACAACACTGCCGCCATCAACACCACTCTCCATATCGCCCGTCACGCTGCCACTACACTATTGATTCAACAACATCTACGACACGCTGCTGATTTAGCGTGTGTTTTGAAGTGCAGAGGTGCCGACTGGCAAGGTCTGGTGGCACCCTCCGTCCTGGAAGAGGAACAGAGCCTCAGGGCCGGCGGCTCCCCAATCCTGGAAGAGGAACAGAGCCTCGGAGCCGGTGGCTCCCCCGTCCTGGAAGAGGAACAGAGCCTCAGGGCCGGCGGCTCCCACGTTCTGGGAGAGGAAATGCCAGCAAGGACGTCCCCACACGCACAGCGACCATAGCAACCTACAAGCACGCTACGTTTACAGTGGGCAAACACGCTACTGTGGGCTAGCACGCTATATCTAGTGGGCTAGCAAGCTATGCCTACCGTGGGTAACACGCAACTGGTCATACCAGTAAGCCATGCTCGTAGGACTAAGCCAACCTACCGGTGGTGGCAGGACTAGGCCTAAACCAGCCTACCAGTGATGTCATGACTGGAAGGCGTTATTTGAAACGTAGAGGTTTCAGATTATGGAAGATGACAGGCAGAACCGGGTGACAGGAGTGGGAGCCAGTGATTGATACTCATCCTGTGAGCGGTAGTTTATTGTGCATCTCATACTCACCCTGCGAGTGGTAGTTTATTGTACACCCCATACTCACCCTGTGAGCAGTAGCGCTAAGAAGGATGACAGAGGGCACAAGAGGTCTTGATTAGACCCCCAACGAAGATTTTGACACTAACAATTACCTTTAACCTACACACCATATTATGCCACCTAGTTACAAAAAAGTTAATTACAATATCTATATATTTACAATAAATAATACATTGGCGGTCGGCATTTGGCTAATGTATAAAATATTTTAGTTACGGGTGTACTACAGGATCATAAGAGGAGCTGCTGTTTATTATTATTAGGCTTCACACTACACAGCCTATTCGTAATCTCACGCCGTTTATCTACTAGAAGCGAATACAGTGCAAGCAAGATTTTCAGATACTTTATCATTAATAATAAGATAGTCTGCCATTTCATGCAGCATGAGTTTAGATTTACCACTAAATGGTTCAATATTCTCACAGTCTAAGATGTAATGTTCTAGCAGCGATGACAACTGGGTAGCGAGGGTCTACCAAGGTTTGGTTTTGCCATAATGAAGTAGCCTAGCCTTACTCGCGTACATTAATTGGTATACTCGCATGTCAGACGGGAATTAAAAAAACAGTTCAAACGTGAAACACGGCATGCACATTAAGTATCTTGGGCATGTAAATGTAGGTTACAGTAAGTAACTGGATGTAAACGGTAGATATATTATTAAGGAGGGTGCAAATACTGTTTAATTTGCATTTGAGAATGGTATGAAATTGCATATGAAAACTGGATTAATGTGAGATGGTATGCAAATGATAATTTATAATTATATTTATTTAAAGATAATTGTAATGCGATTGATAGTTAATTGTCTTCATTTTCGTCAGTGGCATGGAGGCAGCCCTTCTGTATGGATGTAACTGACACTCGCCTAGTGTATATATTCATCCATTTATGTTCCCACGTTGTACAGGTCAACTGGTTTCCTCAATGTATAAGCACTGTTCAAGGTGTGTAAAGCGATTTGAGTAGGTGTGGAGTACCTTGGGTGTCGCCGCAGGTAAAGGTTTGAAAGATTACATTTTATTCAGCTATAGGCTGGATTGGAAGCCGGAGGGTCTGAACGAGACATTGAGATCATAGAAGTAGTAGTAGTTATAACAGTGGGAACCATTAGCGGCAGAATCGTGTAAGCATATGGGAATGGAAGCCAGAAGAAGGTGATAGGGCAGATGCTAGTGGCGGCAGAACTGAGAAATGGGAAGTGGGAGCCAGTGGTATTCACCTAGTTGTGTTTGCGGGGGTTGAGCTTTGCTCTTTCGGTCCGCCTCTCAACTGTCAATCAACTGTTTACTAACTACTTTTTTCCCCCCACACCACACACACACCCCAGGAAGCAGCCCGTGACAGCTGACTAACTCCCAGGTACCTATTTACTGCTAGGTAACAGGGGCATTCAAGACCAGGCTACAAGGCCCCCTAGGTGGTGTTTCTCTGCATCTGCCTGCAGGTTTACAACCAGTTTATCCAGGATTTCACCAGTAAATGTTCTCAGAACGTTCTCAAAGGCAGCAAATTCGAACAATACAATGTGCAGAAGCCTTTTACAACTGTCTTTAGTGTGGCACCTCTTGTTTAGAGTGATTCTCCAGCCTATATTTTTGGTTGCAGTTGGGATAATTATTATATTGTACCTTTGAAGGTCTTCGGACATGTTTACTTCATGGCCTCTGAGTATTCCATCCACTTAATGGCATGGTTTAACTGCCTTTTACATTTAGGTTTGAATATAAATTGCTCCAAAGAACAGGAGCGAAATTCTTCTTTGCCGAACACAATTTTTCTCTGTGACCCAGTGTAATGTTTAGTTGATGGGGGCTTGGAAGTTTACCGTGTTATCTGTTGATGTTATCATCATAAGAATTTGTGTCGTCTGAGAATGATTAATGGGGCGAGGACTGCACTATAGAGCGCTCAGATATTCATGATAGCGGCTCCTGAAGATGTTGACTTGAAGAACCATGTTCCTACTTTTCTAGTTACTGTTATTTCATTTGTGTACTATTACGCAACACACAGTGGGGGGGGGGGGGTCTGGTAGCAGAGTGAACAGCGCACAGGACTCGAAATCCTGTGGCCCGGGTTCGATTCCCGGACCAGGCTGAAACAAATAGGCAAAGTTTCTTTCACTCTGAATGCCCCTGTTACCTAACAGTAAATAGGTACCTGGGAGTGTGACAGCTGTTACGGAGCTGCTTCCTGGGTGTGTGTGGGGGGGATATGGGGGGGAGGGATATAAGTAGTTAGTAACAGTTGATTGACAGTTGAGAGGCGGGCTGAAAGAGCAAACCGCAAGCACAACTAGGTGAATACACACACATGGCGCCTGATGGCTGAGTGGACAGCGCTCTGGACTCGTAATCCTAGAGTCCGGGTTCGATCCCCGGTGACGGCAGAAACAAATGGGCAGTGCCTTTCACCCTGATGCCCCCTGTTACCTAGCAGTAAATAGGTATCTGGGAGTTAGACAGCTATTACGGGCTGCTCGTAATAGCTATTACGGGGTGTGTGTGGGAAAAAAAATTAGTAGTTAGTAACAGTTGATTGACCGACAGTTGAGAGGCGGACCGAAAGAGCAGAACTCAATTCCCGCAAACACAACTAGGTGAATACACACACACACCTGACGAAGATTGTCACGATTTGTGTATACAGTATTTTGCTCGTATTCCAATGCATCTGCGACCTTCACTTAACTCGCGTCTTGTCAAGGATTGTGTATACATTGTGACAACTTCATGGAACAATTTACCGGGTAACACAATAGACGTGGGATAGCTGGTTTGTTTTATACGTGGTTTAGACATGTATATACATAAATTTGTGGAAATAATTAGGAGCTGCCTCATATGGGCCAGTAGGCCTTCTGCAGTTCCCTTTATTGTTTCTTATGGGCTGTTTTGTATCTTTCTTGCTCATTTCAGTGTCAACAACAAATGTGTACTGTATATAAATTGTTCTGGGCCTTGAGTATTGGAGTGTCTGTGGGTTTTAGTCACCCATCACTACCAGAATTAGAGATTTTATTCGTAACATTTAACCAAATCGTTATAATTCTAGCGGGATTGAACAGGTAAATTAACCAATTTTAGAAATAAACGATAAAACATTTAGTATATATTTTGGGTGTTACATATATTGGTAAAACACTGTAGTAGTAATAATAACAACAGTAATAACAATGACTTTCCCTAGCTGTGAACTGCAGACTTATTACAGTGTGTACAGCGAGAGTACATTAGACCTCTGCGTGCGGCCAGACGCTAGTGTGTGTATCCCCAGTACATACTTGATCAGTGTGGTATTTTGTCAACACAACACCGTGAGCCTTGCGTCACGCTGGTCTAAAGACTTAACACCACAACCCATTAATTACCTTGCAGCACCGTTGGGCAAGTTAACGGTACCGAACCCCGACCAACACCAGGGTACAGAACAAAGAGCTACGCCACTCAGAGAAGGGTGCCCGCAGACACTATGTCAACAAGCCCCCCCCAACCCCCTTCCCCTCGTCTTACATGCATGCAACACATGCATGCAACGCATACATGCATACAACGCATACAGCTCAGCCAATGTAGGAGGTACCACAACTACCTCCCTTCAAGGTTCGCCCTGGTTACATGTATAATGACTTTAATAAGGTAGTAGAGTGAAATATTTAACCGGAAAACCGCGTGGTTGTCATACTGGGTCTTGTGTGAACCTTGGCCGTACGACGAAGGTATTACGTTACAGGACATGTCAATGCATCCTTAGTGTGAGGGGAAAGATGAGCTAGTCTTGTCCTAACCGTTCAGCAGCCAACATTACTGCTGCAGTTGTAATAATTCGTAGTGAGGGGAGCGAGAAGGGGGGAAGTGAGAGAGAGCAGAGCATTCAATATATTGACATATATAAGGAACACACAAGAGGCAGCCACCTTGGTACAGCTGCTTGTGGTGTCCAAGATGTGTGAGGAAAATAGAACTGTCAACACTAGGCTCCGGGTATTGGCAACCAAGGTGCAGCTATACACGTCTTTGATGCTACCATCTCTAGCACTCCTGCCGCTGCACCCATCGCCACTCATGCAACTCTTATTCATGTTGCAGTCACGCCTTGGCATTTACCTACTAAATACACACATCAAATAAATTTTGGGTTTAAGCATCCGACTTGTATAAGTGACTAAGCTGTCTACTATCACTCATTGTTTACTTACCTGTGTTTAGGTAATAATTGTTGCTGTACATAGCTCTAAGACTTGGGGAAAATCGTAATCAGATCGCCGGTAATCCGTCGTGGGTCGAGCTCTTTAGAGCCAACAGTACACACGAGCTACTCACAAGTAAAGTGTTCACACAGTTCTAGGACACTCAGAGGTGACCTGTCAGTGAGACGCGTCACAAAACCGGAGGGTGAAAGTGTACACCACTATATCTCAAACTGTTGACAGTCTTGCGAACTTCCCGTAGTAGTTTGAAGTGTCAAAGCCTGAAGCACACCTGAGGCAGGTGAGGCCGGATAGTGACAGGAAGGGTGACGGGAGGGCGTCGTGTGGGCGGGTGTCGAGGCCTGATGCACCTGCGTGTCAAAACTGCAGCCTTATTATAGAGGGCGTGTGGGCGAGGTGCTGGCACTGCCCTGTCCAGGGCCTGCTGACGAGGTGAGAGGGATGTTGGTACTCTCCTGACCAGGGTTTGTGGGCGAGGAGAGAGGTGGTGCTGGCACTCTCCTGACGGGGCCACCGCTGCAGGTCCACTGCTGCTCCCACAGCCCGGCACCACTGCCTCCCTATACCACTATTTCCGGCGTCAACCCCGTGCCTGCCCTCCGCCCTGGCACACCACCAATCCCGCGCGGGCGCCAAGCGCCAGCTCCTGCTGCCTTGGCTGCCTACCACCCGCCCGCTGCCTCACAAACTGCCATAGCTTGCCACACGCTGCCACAACCCTCTCCACTGCCAATACTAACAGATACACAACCATAATACAACAAATGGCTTAATAGCTTTATCTATTGGCTGAAGCAGGAAGGGTGTGCAGCGTGAGTACGAGTGTGTGTGGCCATGATGGAGGCTGAGGTTGCCAGGGGATGAGGGAGGCGTCCTGCTGCCCTCACAACTGGAGGTCCACGTGGTCTCTGACGTTTGTCAAGGGGCAGGTGCCGGCGTCCCCCCCCCCCCCCATCCTACGTCACCCGAGCGCCACACTCGCCTCCCCTCCCCCCCCCTCCTTCCTTCCCACACCATGTTCCTGCGTCATCCCTCCATGTCACCAAGTCTATTATGCCCTTTTCCCGTCAAGCAGCCACGCCTCCACATCTTCCACAATCATGCAGCTGGCCAGTAGCAGGAAATGTTGACGTAAGGGTAAGAGGAAGCGTTAGGGAGGAGAGCGTGTTAGGCAGGACGAAAATGCCGAAGGAGGACTAAGAAGTGGATACAGCAGCAACGTCTTCAATCAGGTCCCTGGAACAAGTACCTGGCCTTTGTTAAGGTTAAGGGGTATACTGTATTTCAAGCTCAGTATGTGACCAGATTCCATACTGTGGTCAATTTCTGGTCAGTAACTGCAGTAATTGTTATGTTACCTACCATAGATCTGACACCAGTAGCCTCTGTATATTAGGTGTATATTACCAAGTCTACCTCTCCTTGTCTCAGTTCTCCCTTAAATCAACCTGTAGTTTACCTGTAATTGGTTTCGACAGTTCTTTACTTCCTAGGCTCGGCCTAGTACCAGGCGTGTCTTGTGATGATCTAATGGGCTGTTGCTTGGAGCGGCCCGCAGGCCCCATATCCATTACAGCCTATTTGACCAGACACTTTATGCAGGAACTTCTCACATTGTCCATAGTATTTGATGGGAGGATATTGAATATACATGAACCTCTCATCCAATTGTACTTACGGTAGTTGAGCTTCAGCTCTTTGGTCCCGCCTCTCAACGGATATTCAACTGGTGAACAGGGTCCTGAGCCTAGTGGGCTCTTGATGTTAAGTATTCTCCAGTTGCGGCCATCTGGGAACACGGTCTACTTTGCATTTCCTAACATATCTTTCGCTCCAATATGTTGTTACTTGTTGCGTATATTTGAGACCTGGTCGTCCACTATTGTCCATGTGTATTTCGAAGTATATGCCAGTATGTTCATAATAAAACACAGAATTGATTAGAGTACCATTACGCTGCTCTAGATTCACATGTGGTAACTGGCAACAACTGCGTGAACAACTCCCGGCCCTGAAGACAACACCTGCTGGGACTGATACCAAGTGCCGACCCTGACAACACCTGCCGACCATGAAGTCCTCAGCGAGCCCAACCCCGCAGCTGGAGCGCTCACTGGGTCAGTGGAGCGCGCGAGGAAGGTCTGGCCTACACCGCGAAGGTGAGGCAGGGCTGGCTGGCATCCTTTATGTGTCACGCACCCGGCGCCTTGAACACTTCATCCCTCTAGTCTCACAAGCCTACTAGCTTACATTAACACTCCTAACTATGCCAATGATCACTAATTCGTAACAGTTCTGTTATTTACATAAACCAGAAAAGATCGCAAGTTGTTCTTTTCTCTGGTGTTACACGAGCTTGAAGAGCAAACAACAAGAGAAGTTGGCGCACGTTCCCCAGAATCCGCGAGTTGATTAGGTTCGCGCGCTTTTCACCCGCCAAAATTTTGTCCGTTGCGGTAACTCAAGAGGACGGGCTGCCTCAACGAGAGCCAGCGAGGGTTGGCGGCGACACCTGCAGTATTAGCGGTAACACCCCCCGTGTACCGGCGGCCACAGCCATGCGACGTACTCAGACTACTGCATGATGACCAAGTCGCCATATATTATCTTGACGATCCATCACTGTACACATAAACCTCTGCCACGTTCCATCAGGGTACACCAGCCACTAAACATCTGGCGGGGGACCTCTTGCACTGCTGGCCCCGCCTCCTCCTATTTTCATGTGTGTATAGATTAAGAACATTTCAAGTGTAGGTTAGACGTCTAATATATATTATACATATATATACATATATATATATATATATATATATATATATATATATATATATATATATATATATATATATATATATATATATATATATATATATATATGTATACATATATATACATATATATACATATATATACATATATATACATATATATACATATATATATATGTATACATATATACACATATATATACATATATATGTATATATATGTATACATATATATATATATATATATATATATATATGTATACACATTATATATATATATATATATATATATACATATATATGTATACACATATATATATGTATACACATATATATATATATATACACACACATATATAACGAATTTGGGAGGATATAAATAAACGCTGCCTCGTTATGGGACAATAGGCCTTCTGCCGTTTCCCCTTAAAACTTAGTTAGTCTTGTGTTATGTCGATGAATTATTATATTTTTAGTGTATATCAATGTATACATGCAAATAAGTATGTGTAAATTAATGTTGCCTTAAAGAATATACAACGTTGGTTGGCGGCGCCAGTTCCAGCGATTGTCAAGCAAACAAGAATAGAAGACTTGACACTTATAAACAGGCCCAAGGCTACTGAATAAACATTCGCCATCAATGACACGATATATTCTGTACATGTTAATAAACAGTAAATGATGGCTTACAGTGGGTGAAGCAATATGGTGTGCCACGGGCAGTAAGGTGTAGTGGTGTGAAACAATGTGGTGTTGTACAGTGTGGTGTACCGTGCACGATGCTAATACCGTGCGTGTTGTGAACACAAAACCCGCCACCCATCCTGGTGCTGATACCATTACCCAACTGTTATCTTGGGGAGGGAGGGGGGAGCTGGAGGGAGAGTTGAGTGTCAGCAGCCTAGTGTAGTCCCTCAAGCACCAAGTTGAGTGTCAGCAGCCTAGTGTCATCCCTCAAGCACCAAGTTGAGTGTCAGCAGCCTAGTGTCATCCCTCAAGCACCAAGTTGAGTGTCAGCAGCCTAGTGTAGTCCCTCAAGCACCAGGAATTGGGTATACCGCCCACCCATCCAGCGCCCGCCTCGTCCCTACACCTTCAACGTACTCGGCCAGCGACTCTTGCCAAGTTTCTCAAGTTTCACCTTCCTTAGTTTATGATATTTTGTACATGCACAATTCCCTAGCCGAGCTCGGCCTGCCAGGGTTCATATCTCGCCTACCAGTACCGATCTTCATCGGCCTGTATATCCCAGCACGATAGTTGGTGTTATATTACTGGTTCGGAGTCTGGCGTTACCAAACCCCGGCTCCAGATTTGTGGAATTCTATATTTATAAAGAAGTGTAAAGTGCCAGTTGCACGACCGCTCAGTGTAGTGTGGAGAAAAAGTCTGGATACCGGAGAGATGCCAGCAGCACTTAAATCAGCAGATATATCTCCTCTACACGTGGCAGGGAGCAAAGTGTTGGCTAAAATATTATAGAAGTGTAAAGTATAGAAGTGTTATAGACCAGTCGCACTAACATCACTCATAACAGTTTTTGAAAGAGTGATCAGAAGTCAGATCTTCGGTTTGATGGATATCATTGACTTCCATCACCCAGGTCAACATGCAGATTTAAAGCAGGACGATCATCATGCCTTACACAGTTACTCAACCACTATGACAAAATTGCTGAAACATTAGAATAAAACTGGAATGCATACACGGATTCTGCACAGGCATGATTTAGGGAGCACAACCAAGCAAATGCATTGTCAGCTAGAGATGACAGGATAGAATCAAGTATTACATCGCAATGCTCATGCCTTCAGCGCAGAAGAGATGGCTGAAATAGATGGAACACAGAATTCATACGGCACGCATAGACATGATAAATCACCAAAATTATTGGGGGACTGTCTCCAAGCTCTCAAAATGTACTGTCTGGAAAGGAGACGAAAGATTCATCACAATTTTATATATATATATATATATATATATATATATATATATATATATATATATATATATATATATATATATATATATGTATATACATATGGAAAATACTAGAGTCAAGTCCCGAATTTGCGCAATATAATTACATACTGGAGCAAACGTTATATGCAGGAACTGTAAAGTAGAGCCACTAAGGAATAGAGGTGCCATAAGCACAACCAGTGTATCAGAGGTCCACGGTTGTTCAATATCCTCCTAGCAAATATAAAAAATATTGCTAGAACCAAAGTGGACTTCCAGAAAAATTTGACAGTATCCTACAAGAAGCACCGGACCAACCGGACTGTAGTGGATATGTGGGGCCTGCGGGTCAACCCAGGCAACAGTCTGTTGGACCAAATTCTCAAGTCCTGCCCGGGGTTGGTGGAGTAGAAGGACTCCCAGAACCCTCTCCAAGTGAAAATAGTCCATAGTCCTTAATAGTCCACAACATTACTGTACACCCCCTGCAACCCCCCCCAAGTTGATTTGCATGCTATTCGGTCAATATGATTACAAACACGCCTCTATATGATTTGAGGAGTAGAAGAACTCCCAGAACCCCATCAACCAGGTATCTACGATGCTCATCTGATGAACGCCAGAGCATTCTCTGGCAATGAGAATGTTTGAGGGTAATTTAGTCAAAGTAATGTCACGTGCCGATTATTTAATTTTATTAAATTCTGTGAATTATTTTAGTTTCAGTATTTTGTTGGAAAGTATTATACGTATAACAAAATGCAGCAGAGCGAGGACAAGAGATTACTCCCCAGGATAAGTAGCACTTCGGCCCTAGGTAAATTCATGTCCGTGACCGATGTGAAAATAACTTTTGTCACGATATAAACTCAAAC